AAACGTAGATAAACGTCTTGCTACAGATTTGAAATTCAAATCGTATATGAAAAGGAGAAAATATATTGACGAATATAGTGAAAGAGATCCTCCCACTCGTTACTATGATTTAAACTTGGTCGGGCCATTAACACCCTAAAATTTAAAATGCAAGTCAAAGTTGGTGATTTTACCATTATTTTTCCCATCACCATCATTATTTATTGTATTGTTCATATGATTCTTGTAATAAAACTATGGTTGTACATTTCTTTCAAATTGAGTTGTTCATTGAATTAATTTTGTGACTGTGTGAAGGTATTGCATTGTAGAATGTATTACCTTTTAATTATTTTAATGTCTGAGTTTTTTCATTGTGTTTGCAGTTCACAAATCTAGCAGAGAAACTAGTTCTATTGCTATTTGACATGGATTAAATTTGGCAAAAATATCTAAATTAAAACCTACTGAATAATTAATGCCTATACAGTATTGCACAAATGAGTGATTAATGCAAATAAACAATGTACTGTATTTGGTCTGATAAGAGGGTGTATCTTCAATATAAATATTAAATTACATGTAATAAATTGCATTTACTATGCAATGAATGTAGATATTAATTTTGACCATTAATTAGTCCGTACAAATGAAGGAAATAAGGTAAGTATAGTCGTTTGGGTCTTGTAATGATATTGAAGGATAGGCAAAATTTATAATGGACTGTATAGTTAATAGAATAGCAGTATTTTGTTAAGGAAGTGATGCACCATCTCAGTTTTCACTCCAGGCCATTTCATTGTGCTGGTTTTAAATAAAATACAATCGTGCATGCGCAAAGTAATAACCATGCATGCGGGAAGGTCCCAGATGTAAAATATTTAAACAGTTTCCAAACAACTGTGCCCGGGTAACTAAGGTTGGTTGTGAAACTCTAGCACATTCACTGCTGTGATACGACTCTTTCAGCTACTAAGTGTATTCTGAGCGATTGTTTTCTTGTCAATCATATTTTGAAACAATCTGGGCATTAATCATATATGACTATACGCCACAATAGATGTTTATCATGCTCTACATATAATTATCCTAGACATTAACACTGCCCTCTATGGGTGCACATTTTTGTTTCTGCAATATTTCCCCCTCCACAGTTAAAAATGTGGAACCCTTATCCACTTGGACTCCATTTGGAATCCATTAGAATACACAATGTGGACTCCGAAGAATCCTCCAGTATCAAGCAATGCATACTAACAATGGATAGCACTTGTCCTTATGCAGTGGAATACATTGGTGGATTCTGGTTGTATACTAAAGAATACATGATGGATTTTTTGCAATACTTGTGGACACTGGCACAATCCATTACAGAATCCATTAATATACACCCGCCAACAACTAGTGTAGGAAAAAAAAACCCTTAGGAAAAAAAACCCTAGAAAAAAAATCATAGTGAAAACAAACACTTTTAGGAAATGCTTTTTTTGCAGAATACGGAAGACTTACTAACTTGTTTCTCAAAACTATATTCACAGAATTGACATAAATGGTCACACATGTTACTAGTATATTATTGTCTCATTGTGTTATTCTTTGATCTTAGTTGTGAACATCTAGTGTTAATTTGTGTCAATCACTTACGTTTATAGACAACCTTTGATCTTGAATGCCTATTCATTGGTGTTTTGTTAAGTGTTTAATTCTATATTGTTGAGGGATGCCTTTGATCTTTACATAAGATAAGTCTTGTTCATTTAGTTTTAAATCTTTGATATAGATTGGTGGATTGATGGACAGGAAAGGGCAAAAGTAAACATCAAGCATTAATACACAGTATTTTTTTTTATTTTTCATTATTTATTAAATATTTACAAAATGTGAAACACATTAAATTATTCAACAACAAGATTATTATTTAACTACCACACACTGTAATTAAACCCACACCATTATTTCCACCTGACACAATGTCCCACGGCTTCAAGAAATTGTTGAATGTCTTTTTTTCCTTCAGAAAAATCTTTGCATAAGTTGTGAAGTTTTTCTTGTAGCTGTTTGTCGCTCTTTGACGCGTTTTCTTGGGGGTACTCCACGGGACATCTGGTATAAAGTAGTTGAAACAAGAGCTGCATCTTTTCTGATTGCATCAACTGTAGCCCACACAGATGGATGGTTATAGCCAAGCAGTTGACCAAATGCATTATTCCAGCTTTCACTCAGGTTGTTGGTTCTGTCTTCGTTGTTGAGTGTTGCTAGATGAACATTCCACAATGATGGCGGAAACAGTGGAGGAATCCTGCGACATCTAAGAGGAGGGATACCGCCACCACGATATACAGGCGGAGGTTGAATTCTTCTGAAGGGACCTGACACATAGCTGGAATCAAAGTAGTTCAGGAGCTCTTCTAGATGATCTGGAACAGTATTCCTCAAGTGTTCCATACCCTGGGTTACGTCTTCTACTGGTAGGAATGCCAGTGCGTCAATCATGCCACAGAACAATCTAGTAGTGTCATCAGTTCTATACAAATTTACCAGCCCAAGTTCCTGTATTTTTCTCCAGGTGCTCTGCATGATATGGTAGGAACATCCATGTTGACATGGGGTCCTAAGATATTTGTGGTGGCTCTAATAGCCGATAGTTCAAAGTCTGTAATGATGGTTGATGGATCAGGTGAAAATCCAAGTTCTTCACATTTGTCCACTATAGCGGTTAAGAGTTCTTCATAGACGGCTTGAGTCTTGCCAGATAAAAATGCATAAATACAGCAAACTGCAGATTCCCCTGCTGATGCATGAATCACGTAAAGCTGCTGGAATAGTTTTGGCGCACATGACTGGAAGGCTTTTTGGGATGTTTTAATCATCATACATGTATAATTGGTCTTATCCATATTGACTGTCAGTTTGTTTGCCACTTACATACTTTCTAGAATTCTTGATGTCTAATTCAATTGTAATACTAGTATTTTGAATGAATTTGAAAAGCTTAATATTATCTGGAAAAAATTGGAAATCAAAAGCATTACTGTACTGGACTGCATTAGTGCCCAAGGTCCTCAACTCAGAAAATGATTTTTTTACCTGAGCCCCCTCCTTGGAAAAGAGTGCAAATTACAATTTTAATTCACCATGTGACAGTTTAAGGGGGATTAAAATTACGAATTTAGTTGCGTTGTCATTGACTTTTACAAAGAAGAAACAGAAATGGTCACAAAAAATATGCATGATTTGACCTACAACAGCGGCCTTTGACCTAAAAGGTCAAGTCTACTATTAACCAATCAGAATTGTATCAGTTTTGCGCAAAAGTAGGGGGATGGGCGCTTGATCGGGCATGGGTACTAACGCAGTCGAATACGGTTGTTGAGTTTACAATGTTGTTGATGTATAAGAATATATATATATATATATAGAGAGAGAATTAGACCGAGAATCGATTGCTGTGGAACACTGCATGATATATGTATGTTTATAAGTGAGCAGATTTGAGTCAATTTTGGCAAACAACTTGTGATCAGCAATGTCTGAGTTATTGATCAAGAAAGTGCTGTTAGTTGAAATTGATGTTAGTTTTTGAGAAATGCGGGTTTGCGAGAAATGTTGTTTGGGGTTTATTTAGAATCCTTTTTTTACTATTACATGAAACAAATTCTGAGATGTTAACATAACATGAAATACTGTATTTTTTAAATGACATCAACACAATTGCATTTAATGTCTCTGTAAAGTTTATAAATATATCAAATATGGTAATGCTGTTTATTATATTTGAAAGTTACAAAATACCAAATAAAAAATTTTATTTTTTTTTTGTTTAATTTAGTCAAGACAAAGGCCAAGATACAGAAGATCAAATACAGAATGATGGAGGTAAGTCAGCAACGTACATCATTGTAGGAACATTTTCTGGATTTTCTTCATTGAAGTACAAATGTATGTGTCAGTCACAGATCATAGAGGGCACCCTCTAGAAAATGACATGGACTCTGACCGAGACTTTTCTGATTTTATCAGGTGGTGATCAAGTGGCAACATCTGATGAACAAACAGCTGCTGCTATTGCAAGTGTAACGGGTCAAGTACCTTCCAATCTTGCTGATCCATCTAATATACAGGCAAGTATTGTCACTATTTATCTCAAGAACCTTGGATCCAGTTAAATTTACAATAATCTGTTGAAATGTGTGCATATTAGCTTTCTAATTTGCATAATAGTTAGCTAAATAAATAAATAAATAAAATTAGCTAGATTCAAATTTGTTTCTGTTTTTGCTAAAAATCTACTATTTATGATACGCATACATTGTATTGCTAATTTGATTATGACTGTTGGACATAAATAAAAATACTTAAAAGAAAAAGTTCTGACAAAATCCTCAAATTTGGCAGTGTGAAATGTAAAAAAAAAACCTTTAGATTTGGTGTTTTTTAATAATTCTCAGATTACCAAATATCACTCAATATTCTACTAGGATTTTGGTCAAGCATAGTGGCTAATTTGCATAATAATTATTGTGTTATTTGCATATTACATGCATAGTGTTTTTCAAAAATTATTAATTTTTTGTTTAATTTTAATTTAAAATGAAAATGTGAGTCATGGCTTTGATCATTAAACAAGAAATAAGAAAAAAATATTTTTTGACATAATTTGGTATTTTTAGGCCTATTCTCACTAGTGCATGTATAATATGAGGTTATTGCGAAAATGCCTCAAAGTATGCACGAACAGTACAGCAGTACAGCTGGAGTATCGACCGACACGCAGCGGAGGTTGATACTTTGTGCATACTTCGAGGTATTCTCGTAATAACCTTATTATACATCTTTTCCTTCCATGGATACATCATGAAAATGCCGAACTTCTTTGTGTGGAGTCCGGTGAAACCCTTGTGGCAGCCATGTTTGTTTTTATTATTAGAGGACGCTTACGCGCGTAATCATTCCATATTTGGAATTCGCATTTCCTTATATGGTAGGATGAAAATATCCCGTAAAATGTCGCAAAATTACCGTGTTACGGTGACAGATGTATAATAATATTTTTTATCGTAACCTTAACAAAACTGCTACATTGGCCGTTTTTTGTGCAAAAATAGTCAGGGATTGCGTTAACGCGGAATTACGCGTCCGGGAGTCAGGGATTGCGTTAACGCGGAATTACGCGTCCGGGAAGCATAGTTTTTCTGTGGGACGAATGAATTTTTCAACTGGTGAGTCCCTGGGACGCATCCGGTAAGTACACGTCTCGGTCGTATTATGATAGGTCTAAAGGCATTGTATGCGTTTGCGATGCCATTGTCCCGCATACAAAGTTCATAGAGCTTTTAAATTCACGTACAATACTGTGCCATTGTCTTCAAAAACACCTATTAGCATCTACATT